GAGGCCGGTTTCCTCCCGTGGCAGGCGTCGCTCCGTCACCATAGAAACAGCCACGAGACTGGCGTTGAGGGAGGAGGGGGACGCCCGCCGGGCCGTACCATTGTACCGGCGGAGGGGAATCGTATGTGTCCCCCCGGGACAGTTGGCGAGCCCAGGCCCGAGAGGTCTCCCATGCAAATGCAAATTTAGAGACGGATCAATTCTGTGAAGCAAAGGTTGATTAGCAGCATGCCAGGTGCCCAAAAATCACCCCTGCTAATAGGTTAAGGTTTATTTACAGTAACATTCATTATCATAGCCACACATTTTTTACAAAGTTACTTACATATTCAACAGCTTTTCAGGGAAATCTTTAACATCAGTTTCTGCCCGTTGTCACATGCACACTAAAATCCTGGGGTGGTTGTTTAGGGTCCCAGGGATGAAGGCTTGTAGTCTTCATCACTGTAAACTTTTCACCTTTCTCTCTGTATAACTAGTTGTGATTTAAGCCAGTTTCTTGCAGCTGTGTCAGCTCATAAGCAGAACATCCTTGAAGATAAGGAACTAATCTTAGCTTTGAAGCACCCCTCTTTCTGTCTTTGAGATTTCCCACTGTCTGTGAATGTAGAAGTCTTTCAAGCCTTGACAGATTTACAGCCTTCACAAACACCTTAGAAGTTACCAGCTCCATCTCAATTCCCCTCCTTTTTTCCTTTTCTATATACAATGCAAATTCTTTCGCTTTCCACTGTACCCCATTACCAATTCGGGTTTTACTGATTTTTTCGTAAGATTTTCATCCTGTTATGTTCCAAAGCACCACATCTTATAAAACTTATTTCAAGACCTTAGCCATGTTTCTATACCATAATGCTTTAACAAATTACTTCCCACACACAATGGTCATGGTCCCCTCAATACCCCAATGAAGATGGTCACAGTCCCATCAATGCCCCTATCACGATGACTGGTGTCTGTTCCACTGAGAGGACCCAACTGAGATGGCAACCTCACTGCCCTGACCAAGAGGCCTTTGATATCCCAACAAAGATGGCCACAGTCCTCTCTATGCCCCAGCCACCCTTCCTAAGATACCTGGACTCTGAGTTGACCACAGTCCTCCTCAGCGCCCTGACCAGAATGGCCATGGTTCCCTTAACACCTGAGCTGAGACAGCTGACATCTCCTCCACACTAACTGGGATGGCTGCCTGCTCAGCTCAAGGGTTTTTGGCAGGAGCCAGAGAGAGGTGACACTGCTGTAGTCCGCCTTGATCCTTCCCTCTTCCCACCTTTGGTTCCTCCCCAGAACCCCGCACTGTGTCTTGTGCAAGACCAAAATACTCTGAAGACATCCCAGGATGAGTCCCAGACCCACAGTAGAGATCTCAAACCCCTCTACATTGGAGTACTTGGTTTCATATGCGATCACAACCGTGGTGCGCTTTTCTCCACCATCCCAGCAGGTTTGCAGGTGAGGAGCACCCACACTCTGCTCCCTTGAAACCAAAGCCAAAACTAAAGCAGTGTTACAGCTTATCCTTATCTTGAAGGACTCCTCTCTTCCTACATATCAGCAAGCAGCTGCTAGGCCCCTTCTGTCTGAAATTGCCTCTTGGATTTATAGTGGCAAGGTCCACTCTTCTGCTTGCAGGTGGGTCACGATGCAGGTATCATCTCAGATTGCCTCCTCAGTGGGTTGAAACTAGGAGTTGGGTGGCTAGGGATGGACACAGCTGTCCCAAAGAACAACTTTCCAACAATGAAATGTGAGGAGCAAGCGAAGGAGGATTTGAACCTTGACTTTTGGCAAGCCTGACTCTGAGGACACCAAGATGAGCAGAAGAGGCATCAGGATGACAAAGGCAGCTGCCAGAATGACTTGGAGCTCCTTCCAGCTGGACCTTGCGCCCTTTTAGATGTTTGACAGCCTAGACTTCACCTCTAACATAAAGGGAAGGAGCCCTCCCTTGGTCCTGCATCTCATCTTTAGCATCTCTTGTCTCTGTCCAGCTGTATCTAGGCACCTCAGTTGCTCCTCTGAGTTGAGTTTCAGAAGCTGAGATGCGAGCTGTTTTGATAAGCCATGGAGATAAATCCCACCCATCACAGCCTTGCTTTCTGCAAATTCTCCATGTGCATTAGTGTGACCTCAGCAGTATAAATTTAAAGGAGAAGTTTCATCTCCTCTCATTTACATGGGTTTGGAGTTTGGGCATATACAACAGCTACCAGTCAGAGGATGAGACAACCTTCTAGTGCAAACCTCTTCTGAATATACACCAGGCTTTGGGTGTCACTTTTAGATCCCTGGATGGGCCTCCAGTTGCTCAGGCAGAGGTGTCCTAGGCACAGATGTCTCATGGGGTTAGGAGAAATCCCACCAAGGTACTTCAAGATATTTCAGCATGACCATGACTTTAGACTCATTAGTCTTTGAGAGCTCAGCAGAGACAAGCGGTGCTTTATCACCCACCCATGTATGTTCAAGACCACCATATCCTCCCCATGGGCACCCAGATGCATCCTCTTGTGTGTGCACAGAGCTTCCCTTTCCTCTCTGACCCCACCTTCCCCACCACATCCCTTTTCTTCCAACCCATTCCTCTCCTCAGGAGCTCAACTCCCCTCTGTCCCCAGGCACATGCATCCTCTGATCCTCTCCATTCTTTTCTGAGCACTTTGCCTTCTTCTCTATCCATCCCCCTTTAACCTTCTGGGTTCTCTGTGCACCCCTGCTTCTCCTTCCCCACCATCCTTGACCATGGGTCTTCATGCCCAGGTGATACCTTCAGGCCCCCTGTGCTTACAGCAGAAGCTGTCCACACAAGCCAGAGGAGCTTGTTCATCACCTTTTTCTTTTATTTCAAGTGCTGTACACAAAATCACTCAGCCCCAGGTGCCCCCAGTGCCCCTGTGCAACCCTCGCCTCCAGACCTGCTGTGATCCAGCACTCACCGCTGCCAGGTGCGAGGCCAAAATAAGTTACCCGTCTCCCCCATGCCGTGCTCCCAGGCACTGGGGCAGGTTTGCACCAGCCCTGCCTGTGCCTGCGTCACCCAGTGTGCCCCACACAGGGGTAAGTGTTCGCTCCAAAATTCAAAGTGACAGCATCTGGGCCCTGCCCACTCCTGGCACTGCAAGCCCCGGCTCCCAGGGGTCCGCAGGGCATGGCAGCCTCCACCAGCAGCAGGGATCACCTGCAGAGAAAGGACAGGGGGAAGCATCAGGTTGTCAGACTTGGACACCTGACTAACCAACCCAAGGTGCCCTAATGCTGCTGGTTAAATTGCTTTCCACCTCCCACTTCAATTCACCCCACAGGGATGTGCCATCAAGCTGTGGTGAACCCAATGCAAACACAAACCCCTACACCAGCTGGCATGATGCCGGATCCCTCAAAATGGGAGCAAAGCCACAAGGATGGGCTCAGCCCAGTGGAGGTTTGGAGGCCTACATCCAACAGGGTGCCTGAGGGAACAGATGCAAGCCCTGATACCAACCTCTGCCTCCAAGGGATTCCAGGCAGAATCAGGGAAGGGAGGTACTGGGATGTACTCACTCCATCTTGGCTTCCAGGTGGTGGATGGTCTGCTTGTCCAAGTAGCGGCAGAAGAGTGAGAGAAGGTTACTGGGCCAGAAGAGAGGCTCCACCAGCAAGGCCTTGGGCACTTGTGACAGCTCCCGGGCAACCAGGAACACTGTGTCTGTCCTGAAGGCATCAGTGCAGGGGGTTGAGTGTCCAACCAGCCAGCAAACCCCCAACCCTATCATTGCATGGCCCCTCACCACATCTCGAAGTCCCCACTGCGCGGCTCCAGCGGTGCGTCAGAGGACAGCAGCCTCTCACCATGGCTCAGCAGGGAGTAGAGCAAGGAGATCCCAAACTGTGGGGAAGCAACAGGAGGAACATCATAGACAGCTGGCAGTGGTGGCACCCCAGGGACACTGCATGGTTCTGCCCTCCTTGGGGCCACCTACCTGGTTCTTCAAGGCCATGGCAAGGAGAAGCTCGGGGGACTCAGGCAGAGGCCTGGTCATCTCCTGCAGGACCTCAATGAGTTTGCTGAAGGTCATCCCACCCACCACTTCATTCAATGGGCTGTAGAGCAGGGGGAGAGACTGGGCAGGGAAAAGGGGAGAACAGGGATCTGAGACTGAACCACCAATGACACAGTCCCATCCCAACACCTGGGGGGGACACCAGAGTCAATACTGCACCCCTCCCGGTGTGTGACTGCCACCAGGACTGCTTTAACCCCTCTCCTGGAGGCCTTTCTCCTCCTCCTCAGGGAAGGAAAGAGGCTCCTGTTTCATGTCAACCCTACCAGCTGCCTAATTAGCCTGGCACCCAGCAAGACAGCCCCCTCACATCGCACAGGGTAGCCCCCTCAGCAAGAGCAACAGGGGAAGGAGGCAGCCCAGGATGCCCCTGCCCTTGCTGGAGGTACTCACCTCGTCCAGCATGTCCTTCTTCATGAGGAAAGGCAGGTGGCGGGTGATGGTCAGCAGGATCTTCTCAGCTTGCTCTTGCATCAGGTGAGGCAGCAGCCGAGCAGTGAGCTTCTTGCCCTTCCGCACACACAGGAGTTGCAGGAATTCATCCTCTGCCTCCCTGGGGATGAAGGCTCCATTGGCATAGATCCCAGAAGGACCTGTAGCATCTCTGTCCATCCAGAAGGACCGGCATTAGCTCCAGTGGAGGACAAGGCTCAGGGGCAGAGTCAGCACAGGCCACGGTGACACACAGAGGACAAGATCCAACCCTTGCCAACACCCAGAAGCACTCCTCTGTGACCATATCTGAGCCCCCATGAGGACCAGGACATGCCACCTGGTTCCCCTCTCCCCACGGCACAAAACTCACTCTTCACTGCTGCAAGCCCTGATTTTCAAGGCTTGGTAGATATGCTTCACTTCTTGGCTCTTCTGCTCCCGACAGCAGGGCTGCTGCTGCTGCTCCTCCTCTGGGACCAGGGACATCTTCCGCTGCATCTCCTCCACTTCCAGCAGCTGCAGGAAGAGCTGGAGAAACAGCACAGGGTGAGGGGGCAGCTTGGAGGACCTTCTACCAACTGGATCAGGTAGTAGGTCCTACCAACTATCCAGGACCTCTACCCAAGTAGCTTTCACCTCATCCAGAGCTCTTTGGATGAGCATTTGCTCCAAATCGTGGCTTGCTCACCTTCTCGATCCTGTGCAGTGCCCGAAGCCGGTGGCTTCCCGCAGCCTTCAGGGGATGAGAAAGGAAGGCACAACAGTTACAGCCAGCACCAGACACCGCCGCTGGCAGAGTGCTGGGCCAGCCACTCCCTGGGGATCAGAGGTGGCTTCAAGATACAGAGCAATCCCATGGGCAGGCCACAGCCAGCTCCAACTGCCCAGAGCCCTATTCTACCCCATGGCTGGGGACAAGCTGCCACCAGCCAGGGTGGCACCTGCACCAACTGTTCACCCTATCTGATGGCTTGGGGCATCATCCATGCTTGGTCACAGCAACTCCTACAACTGCTCCAGAGCCTGAAGAAAGCTTGGAGAGATGTATCCAGGCATCCAGGACACCAACAAGCCTGGCTCCCCATCACCTACCTCCTCCACAAGGGCATGGTGCACAGCATCGATGGCCCGGCGAGGGCTGTAGCAGGTGGACACGGCGACCTGGCCCAGTGAGCCTGCGATACGCACCACTGGGAGAGATGGGATATGGTGAGACCGCGTCCCATAACCCCTCACCCAGACACCCAGAATCTGCCCCAGACCCTCACCAGAGTCATATGTTTCCACTTTCTGGATGAATGGCGTGACCAGCTTGGGGGGCTCCTGCTTGTTGCGCCTGCCGAGCAGCTCCTCCTCCGCCTGTTTACGCTCCAGCCGGTGGTAGTATGTCTGCAACAACAGGCATAGCCAGGAAGGAATGCACTACCAGCCCAGGCACCCTCTGGCTCCCAAAAAGATGAAGCCCCAGCCCTGAGGAGCAGAAGCAGCCACTGGTGCTGCTGGTGGGAGCTCACCTGGTAGTAGTAGTCATCATCCATGTTCTCACTCTGCAGCTGGATCATCTCCACTTTGATAACCCAGTCCTTCTCCTTGGAGGTCATCAGCTCAGCATAAGGGTCCACTTTAGGAGACCACAGCTTCTTGGGGGACATACTGACCCAGGAGAAAAATCACACCCTGCTGTGAAAACCCAGAGCCCCCTCCACTACCCTGCAGCTTCTCAGGAACCCAGGACCCCCTCACCTCTGCACCTGCCCGCCCTGCTGCTGCCGCTGGGTCAGGATTCGCTGGTGCTGAGGGTGCAGCTGGGTCATGTGGCTGGGCTCACTGCAAAGGTGACCAGACCAGGACTGGAGACTCACCACCCACACTAGAGCCATCTGGCAGAAGGGGGATGACCCCCAGCTGCATTGTGGTGCTCCTCTGGTACCACCCAGGCACCGCACTTGCCATCCTGCTACCTGAAGTTCAGCTGGCCACTGGCTGATGGACTGAAGAGGAAACCAGGGTCCAAAGAGGGAGACGTGGGACCAAAGTGCATGGTGAGAGGCTGCGATGGGCTGTTGATGTTGGGTGACATGGGCCGGAACAGGGTTGGAGATGCGTACTCTGACATCTGGAGAGGAAGAGAGAAGCATTCTGAAGGTTCTGAAGCGGTCTGCAAGCATCATGTTGGCTTCTTGCTCCTGTCCTTGCAGGGGCCACCTCTCCCTGTACAGAGGGAATGCGTGGGGCACCACAGCAAGGTGACACCCTCTAGAATCCTGTCACTACAGCTGAGCAATGCAACAGGACCCATGTGTCACCAGGGATTGTGCACACCACATCCATCACCAGTGTGACACCAAGCACAGCATCATGCCTGGTGCAGGTCCTGTGAGACCATCAGGACAGAGATTTATGAAGCAATGGCCACACTGGTGGCTTTGCTTCCCCCATGGGCATGGTGATGTTGGGTTGACAGATCTTAGAGGTCTCCTCCAACTTTAATGATTCTATAAGACACTGGAGATAGGTGCTCAGGATTAGACAGAGCTCCAGAGCCTGCCCACGACAGCAGAGCTTTCGGGAGGCACCATGCCTGTGTCCCTTGCCACTCCAGAGCCACCTCAGGGGGAGACACGGCAGTGGATCACAGCCCAGTGTGTCACCT